CCCAACAAATTACACCGATTAGTCCCGTAACTCATGGTTTTTGCTCGGAAAGTACAATCTTTAGTACAAAACGATTCTCTCATGGTCAGATAACGCGACGACCATTTGCGTAATGGACAATCATGCCTCGCGTCAGCCCTCGTCAGACCAGCCACTGTGCAAAAAGTGCCCTTTGTGCAATTCTGCAGCGGAATCTGTACTATAAATTATGTGATTCATGAACAGCTAACAAAATTTAAATTTATTTCCTTTTAGACTACATCTTGACTAATTCTAATTAGCGCTTTCGTCTTAACTGCAGATCACAAAAATATATGTATAGAAAATACTTCTTTCATAAATGCAGCCAAACAGAAAAGGTAAACACAATCTGGTTAAGCACATTTATTTCTGTACTTTTTGTAGGGATAAAGGACGCCGATAGTAGAAACTGGATGGGCCAATTAGTCTTCCCACGGTATGTTAAAGCACGAACAGGAGTATTACTTAACTAAAACAGAGCCTCCTTCCATAAAATATAGTCACCCAATACTGTTATGCCGGTTGCTAACAAACATTACTAAATCAGCGCTACCACTACCAGTTGTGTCTAGAAAGTGAGTACAAGAATTTTTACATCTTTAGACTCACAACGTCTAGTAAAACATCATATTGCCTGCCAAAGTAGTCTCACGTGACGGTCGAAAGAGGGTTGAAAAACGGATCAAAGGAGGGGTTTTGCTTTGGAAAAAAATCAGAACATCCTGGTGGATCTTTGCAACATTACGTAATCCCTGGGGAATAAGATGTTCTAGTTTGAACTACACAATTTTGATAAGCAGCTTGCGTTGAATATACTTTTGCGCTACAAATCGACATTCTCGCTTGATCACAAATTTAACGTGACTCAGTCACCCTTAAGTCTATAAGAAGCGAATAATGTCACCATAAGTGTGGTACTTTTAGAATCTTTTCTTTGAAAAAAGAGCGTGAATGATGTACCCGAAAAACACCTTACCCCAGTGCTCCTATCGTAGCTGACTCTTCCACGAAAAGCTTAGCTGATGCTCCTATTGTCAGTTTAGCTTCGATCAGTGCCCAGCAGGTTCCAATCTGCCATGATCCGTCCACAACACAAGCAGATCCGGACACCATCTCCATCTAAAGTCTCATTCAGGTTAGGGTTAATCCCTAAAAAACAGGTAAAACAGCAAACCTTCTCGGTTTCTACATATGAATGAAGGTCAAAGTGAACATCTTCGCGTGATTCGAGCACGAAGTTTTCACCAACTGTCCAAATTCCATCACAGTAAAAGCTAAATGCACACATTTCAAAAATTTTCCAAAAAAAATCGATAATTGATTTACCTTCCACAATTCAACCTTCCGAACATTTCCAATGCCACTATTGCATCTGCCGTAGTGGTTACCCCTTTTCCAGCTGTCAATACCAAAGAGGTAAGTTTAACTTGGCCACATATGGTAACAGCAGACCAGGCGTCTAATTCTACGTATGTGCTGCTCCAGATCGAATCCGTCTCAACGATAGCGGATCCCCCGACCTGAAACACAAAAAAAACCTTACCAACGGCGCAAAAGGTCTTTCTTCAATGCTTTCTACCTTAATCTGAAGCTCCCTAGCGTTAAATTGAGCACAGTCATCACAGTTTTTGCTTATGATAGCACGGATCGCCTTCGACTGGATGGATCCTCGTCTCCAATCATGAACAGCGAGCAGAGCATTAATGAGGGTGATCCGTTCACGAACGCGATTCAGCGTGGATTGTTCGCGTTTCTCACGATATTGCATGATAGCAGCTTGGCGCAGGGTTAGACGTTTAGATTGGACCT